GGCTCAGGGGGAAGGAGGGGGAGAGGAGGGAAGGAAGAAGAGGAAGAAAAGAGAAAAAGAAAAACCAGCAGGGGGACAGGGCAGAGACTTGAAAGTTTAAAGAAATACTTTCCCACCCCACCCACGAACTTATAAAGGATTATAAGAAGGATAAGTGCCACAGAGAAAAATGAAAAACAAAAATGTAAAAGGAAGTGGGCTTAAAGGGTCCCAGACTGGCACAATTAAAAAATACACATCCCAAGGGAACATAACCCCAGAAAGACCCCAGAGCAGATCTGAAAAAGGAGAAGCAGACCTTAGTATGGAAAGAAGCCCTAGAGTATCAATAGGCCCTGATACTAGTAATCAGCAAATATCAGGCAATACAGAGATGGAAAAAGATCTACAAATACCTAATAAAAAGGAAATGGCAGAAATGTTTAAAGAACTGGAGAAAACAATAAAACAAGAAATGGTAAACATTCACAGTGATCTGGGACACCTCTTGGAGAGAGTTGAGGAAACGGAGGAGAAAGTTAAAGGTCAGACCCAGGCTATCTCTGAACTTGAAAAAGAACTAACTAATATAGGGAAAGGCTGAGATACAAGAAAATAAAGACAGGAAGAGAAACATCTTGATACGTGGGGTCTCAGAAAACTTAAAGGGAGAAAGTCTGCAAGAGGTGGTTTGTAAAATATTTAACACTATAACAGACAGCTCTGAAATGGAAAAGTCTAAAATAGAAGGAACCTTTAGAAAAGGAAAAATTCTGAGAATTCCAGTTAATATTAGGCATGTTGAAGTCACCCACAATTAAAACCTGGGACAAATCATTGGTCTTAAGGTGCACAACTACATCAACATTGCACTTTTGTTTGGCTTTCTTGACAATATTTAAAATGTGCCTTTAATCTTTGACAGTTAAAGGTATACAGCTAACTTCCTTTGACACTTCCACATGATTTCCTTAAGAAACACCTCTTACAATTTTAATCAATAAGAAGATGACTTCTCCTTTGATCCACAACACTTGCCTGGTTTGCAACTTCAGATAAAAAAGTTACTTTTGGCAAAATAATTTCTTTCTCAGGGACCTCCTTCCTAGACCAACTTGTATACATTTGTCTAGATCAGTGGTTCTCAACCTTTCTAATGCCGCGACCCCTTAATACAGTTCCTCATGTTGTGGTGACCCCCAACCATAAAATTATTTTCGTTGCTACTTCATAACTGTAATTTTGCAGTGGGAGGAGTAGTGCCCCATCACTGATGTCAGTGGGATGAATAGTGCCCCATCATTGGTGTCAGTGGGAGGAATAGTGCCCCATCACTGATGTCAGTGGGATGAATAGTGCCCCATCATTGGTATCAGTGGGAGGAATAGTGCCCCATCACTGAGGTCAGTGGGATGAATAGTGCCCCATCATTGGTATCAGTGGGAGGAATAGTGCCCCATCGTTGGTGTCAGTGGGAGGAATAGTACCCCATCCTTGGTGTCAGTGGGAGGAATAGTGCCCCATCCTTGGTGTCAGTGGGAGGAATAGTGCCCCATCATTGGTGTCAGTGGGAGGAATAGTGCCCCATCATTGGTGTCAGTGGGAGGAATAGTGCCCCATCATTGGTATCAGTGGGAGGAATAGTGCCCCATCGTTGGTATCAGTGGGAGGAATAGTGCCCCATCATTGGTGTCAGTGGGATGAATAGTGCCCCATCGTTGGTATCAGTGGGAGGAATAGTGCCCCATCACTGATGTCAGTGGGATGAATAGTGCCCCATCACTGGTGTCAGTGGGAGGAATAGTGCCCCATCACTGATGTCAGTGGGATGCATAGTGCCCCATCACTGATGTCAGTGGGATGCATAGTGCCCCATCGTTGGTATCAGTGGGAGGAATAGTGCCCCATCACTGATGTCAGTGGGATGAATAGTGCCCCATCACTGGTGTCAGTGGGAGGAATAGTGCCCCATCACTGATGTCAGTGGGATGCATAGTGCCCCATCACTGGTGTCAGTGGGATGCATAGTGCCCCATCACTGGTGTCAGTGGGAGGAGTAGTGCCCCATCATTGGTGTCAGTGGGAGGAATAGTGCTCCATCACTGGTGTCAGTGGGGGGAGTAGTGCCCCATCACTGGTGTCAGTGGGAGGAGTAGTGCTCCATCACTGGTGTCAGTGGGAGGAATAGTGCCACATCATTGGTGTCAGTGGGAGGAATAGTGCCCCATCATTGGTGTCAGTGGGGGGAGTAGTGCCCCATCATTGGTGTCAGTGGGGGGAGTAGTGCCCCATCATTGGTGTCAGTGGGAGGAATAGTGCCCCATCACTGGTGTCAGTGGGGGGAGTAGTGCCCCATCACTGGTGTCAGTGGGAGTAGTGCCCCATCACTGGTGTCAGTGGGAGGAATAGTGCCACATCATTGGTGTCAGTGGGAGGAATAGTGCCCCATCACTGGTGTCAGTGGGGGGAGTAGTGCCCCATCACTGGTGTCAGTGGGGGGAGTAGTGCCCCATCACTGGTGTCAGTGGGAGGAATAGTGCCACATCATTGGTGTCAGTGGGAGGAATAGTGCCCCATCATTGGTGTCAGTGGGAGGAATAGTGCCCCATCATTGGTGTCAGTGGGAGGAATAGCGCCCCATCATTGGTGTCAGTGGGAGGAATAGTGCCCCATCATTGATGTCAGTGTGGTGGAGGGGAGAATAGTGCCCCATCATTGGGGTCGGGGGGGGGGGGAATAGTGTCCCATCGTTGGTGTCAGTGGGGGGAGGAATAGTGCCCCATCATTGGTGTCAGTGGGAGGAATAGTGCCCCATCATTGGGGTCAGGGGGGGGGGGAAATAGTGCCCCATCGTTGGTGTCAGTGGGGGGAGGAATAGTGCCCCATCGTTGGTGTCAGTGGGGGGAGGAATAGTGCCCCATCGTTGGTGTCAGTGGGGGGAGGAATAGTGCCCCCATCGTTGGTGTCAGTGGGGGGAGGAATAGTGCCCCATCGTTGGTGTCAGTGGGGGGAGGAATAGTGCCCCATCGTTGGTGTCAGTGGGGGGAGGAATAGTGCCCCATCGTTGGTATTAGTGACACAAATGATGGGGCACTATTCCTCCCAGTGACACCAATGATACTTACTTTGCTGACCCCTGCTCCAGCCTGGGCTCGCTCTCTCACTTACCTGTCAGCTGTCTTCCTTCTCTGGCCGCTCTCCTCTTCACTCGCTCCGGCAGCTCCCTCGATCTTCTTTGATGTACGCGCGCTGCCGCTCGGCTCCTCCCTCTCCAAGCTCCACCTCCTCGCCGGTGATTGGCCGCCTGTGTGCCTCTCCTGAGCTACAGTTCCGGTGGCCAATCAGCGGCGAGGAAGCGGAGCTGCTGAGCGATCCCGGAGGTGTGGCCAGGTGACAGGAGCAGCGTATCATCCCGCCCACACATCGCCTGAGACGGAGCAGCGGTGTCTCGGTTCCTAAGACCATCGGAAATATGTGTTTTCCGATGGTCTTAGGCGACCCCTGGGAAATGGTCGTTCGACCCCCAAAGGGGTCGCGACCCCCAGGTTGAGAACCGCTGGTCTAGATCCTGGCGAATTAGAGAAAGAATTCCTCTTGTGTCTGTATCATGTTACTGAGTAGCTTCAGAGAGACTTGTTTGAAAACTAGTTTCTCAGGCAAAGCTTGAAGACACTTGACATGGCACTGGTACTAATTTTCTCAGGCCTCTGTGGCCAGATGAAGAATCCCTATGCTGTTTGTGATGCAAAGAAAATATAGGAATGGTTATCCCTTGAGCTTGATGCTTAGATCTGCTATGTTCCCCACTTGGTGGGACATTGAGGGTATCAGTCATGATGCTCTGGACTGTAGTTAAAATAATGGGTTGATTTTGTTTGTAAAAAATAACACCCACCTAAGCCCTTTCCTTTTGGCTTTCTCTTTGAGTAATAACCATAACAGCTGTGAGGACACAGAGATCTGGTAGAGGAACCTACACATTGCCAGCGCCAATGCACTTGCATGATAACAGGGGTCCAGCATTCTCCAATTTAGTAGGCCCGGATGTGACTGATGATGTTAGATTACCTATTAGCTACAAGGAAAGGGTTACTGGGGTGTCCCCCAGGTGAGCAAACAATCAAATCAGGGTTAGCCAACATACCTTCCAAATGTGCACTCTAGGCTGATACATCGGTTCCCTTAGAAAGCAGGAGAACAGTTAGTTACAGTAGAGCTGGGCCCTTTAGAACAACAATGCCATAGGAGACATTAACCCAACTGCTTCTCAGTACAATCGGAACTATACAATGAAATAGGGTTGTTGGGTCCAACAGGCAGCTGAGGGCAATTTAGTTAATTTAATAAATTTTTTGTGTAACGTGAACTTACACTTTGAATATAATACATTGAATCAAAATGACAGGTAATAAAGGTAAATTACAATTTGGCTTGTGTAGCAAATACGTAGGCTATATTTTTTTCCTATTCCCTAGAATTTTTTTTTAACATGGATTTATAATTTAAAGTGGAGCTCCAGGCTCCCCCCAAGAAATGAATAGTCAGCAGCTACACATACTGTAGCTGCTGACTTTTAATATAAGGAAACTTAGGTGTCCAGGGATCCAGCAATGTCCCCACCTGAGACGATTGTTCAATTGGCTTCGGGTGCAGGTGCTGGAATCTGGCAGTGAAGCCTTTGCTGCTTCACAGCCTGTTTCCTACTGCACTAGTGCGAAGTGTGCCGCACTTTAAGAATGGTCCCGCAGTCTTATGGCACCTGTGAAGTGTCCCAGAAGGCTGCTGGGGCAGGACAGGGCCGAACTCCCAGCTCAGATTGGCGCCGCGCATCTGACTGGAAGTAGGAGCATGTCAAAACCATGGACTTAAGACGTACGGCTTCTAACAGCCTCCTTACCCTTGATAACCTCATTTATGATGAAATGCGTAGGGTGGAGCTGGAGTCTGGCACGTCATGTCATGTACTTGCGCATGCACGCTCCTGCTTTTGGTGGATCGTTGGTGAGTGAAGCCTGGTGGAGCAGGGTGCATTATTTTGCTGAAAGAAGCCTCTGCCATTAGGGAATACCTTATCCACGAAGGGGTGTACTTGGTCAGCAACAATGTTTAGGTAGGTAGCAGGGGCGGACTGACAACTCATGGGGCCCACCGGCAATAGGGGATCATGGGGCTCCTATGTCCTTGCCCAAACTCAGAAAAGCCTATGAAAAAGGTACCAGCGGCATCTCATGGGGCCCCCTACTGGCCCCGGGCCCTCAGGCAGTGCCGAGTTTCCAAATGGTCAGTCCGCACCTGGTAGGTAGTATGTGTTAAAGTAACACCTACATGAATGGCAGGATCCAAGGTTTCCCAGCAGAACATTGCTCAAAACATCCCTCTGCTGCCGGCTTGCCTTCTTCTCATACTTCATCCTGGTTCCATCCCTTGCCCAGATAAGGGACACACACGCACCCGGCCATCCTCATGATGTAAAAGGGATTCATCAGATCAGACCACCTTCTCTCATTGCTCTGTGGTCCAGTTCTGATGCTCATGTGTCCATTGGCTGTGGACACAAGTGATCCCTCAGCATGGGCCCTGTGACCGATTTACAGCAACAAACTGCAATGTCCATTTTATCAATGCATCAACTTCAGGGACAACATGTTCACTCACTGCCTAATCTATCCCACAGATTTTCAGATGCCATTCTATATCTCCATTCAATGGCATCCTAAAATCTGTGGGATAGATTAGGCAGTGAGTGAACATGTCCCCGATTACACCGATCACCCATAAAATGATAAGTGAAATCAAGAACATCGATTATCTCAAATCACCTGTCATCGTGTTGTGGGTGATCGGTGCAAATGTTTTGCTTTGCATTGATATAAAATGTATATTTGTAGACTCCTGGAACATAAACATTCATCCGATTTAGAAACAGAAAAAAACACCCCGCAATGACTAGGCCGGCCAATGGAAAGTCGTGTAGGGTGGGGCGGGCTTGGGTGTGACTGACAGCTCGGCGGACCAATGGCAGCAGAGGCCGGGGCTGGAGGCTGAGCTGTAGGAAGTAGCCGGATCCTGTTTGTCGTGCAGAGCCCGCGGTGGGGGAGAGGCGCTGCTGACAGTTGTGTGTTCCCGATCATTGCAGGAGGTAGGAGAAACGAAACTATTGTGTGTGTCTGATGACCGATCACCCGGCCGGCTGGGTCTGAGCACTGGGACCGGTCTGGGGTTGTGAGAGGGGATCACCCCGCACAGCGCTGGGCTGTGTATTAGACAGGAATCGGTTGGAGAACTACAAGTCCCAGCAATCCCGGCCAGTCTCTGAGCTCCACCTCTCATCCACAGGTAGGGTGTAATATGTGGGGTGCAGTGTGTCTCCTGTGTCTGGGGTGACTCCATAGACTGCCGTGTCATCATGGGTCAGGAGAGGGAGGAGGTGACTCAGGTTTACTAACAACCATCAGCACAACAAACCTGGAGACTCCTGTCTCCCTTCTCCAGGACCTGTCTCACCCTCTCCAGGACCTGTCTCACCCTCTCCAGGACCTGTCTCCCTTCTCCAGGACCTGTCTCCCTTCTCCAGGACCTGTCTCCCTTCTCCGGGACCTGTCTCCCCCTCTCCGGGACCTGTCTCCCCCTCTCCGGGACCTGTCTCCCCCTCTCCGGGACCTGTCTCCCCCTCTCCGGGACCTGTCTCTCCCCCTCTCCCCCCTCTCCCCCTCTCCGGGACCTGTCTCCCCCTCTGCATTGTCCTGGATCATCAACCCCCTGGGAAGTCATCCGACTGGTACAGAGTCCCTTTATTACATCCTCTCCAAAACAGCTGAAATTCCACATCAGGCTAACAAGTGTGACTGCCAATGTGACGGACACATAATCCTACATGAAGCTGATTGGCTACATGGGTATTCATTGTCTTGCTGACACTACATGTGTTTCAGTTGCTTTTTTTTCTGCATCCAAAACACGCAGAAAGTAGGTGATATGGTTGTCAATGTCATCGTTCACAACCAGGGGCAGACTGACAACTCATGGGGCCCCCGGGCAATAGGGGATCATGGGGTGTCCTTGCCCAAACTAAAAAAAGCCTATGAAAAAGGTACCAGGGGCATCTCATTGGGCCCCCTACTGACCCCGGGCCCTCGGGCAGTGCCCGAGTTTCCAAATGGTCAGTCCACCCCTATTCACAACAGTGCTTGCAGTTCCAGTGCGTTCCGGAAGCAGAAAAAAAAAAGTAGAACACAAGCTGCATGTTTTTCTGCACAGAGCTGTACTGGAATGCACCAAAAACGCACGGGAACACACATGTACCTATTTAAATTGAAGAAAACGAGAGGGGAAAAATGAACTAGAATGTGTAAGAAATGCACTGACGTTTCTATAGTGTGAATGGTCCTTACAGTGGAGCTTGATATATATATTTTTTTCTATTAAAATAACAAACCTGTCATACTTGCCTGCTCTGTGTAATGGTTTTGCACACCGGCTCTCCTCTTCTTGGGCCCCCCCGCTGGCACTCTTGGTTTCTCCCACTTGATGAGTGACCCTATAGCAAGCATCTTCCTTCGGGGTCACTTGTGCATGCTCAATCTTGATCTTCCTCTGTCAGTTCACAGCGTGGCTCGACCCTGCCCCTTGCCTCTCCTCAGTGGCTGGCTATGATTGACAGCAGCGGAAGTCAGTGACTCTTGGTGCTGTCTCTGAGCCAATGAGGAGGGGGAGAGCCTCTGCTCTCATGCAAATCGCTAGGTTGGGGTCAGGTAAGTATAAGGGGGGCTGGGGGGAGAGCTGACCACAGAAGGTTTTTTTTACCCTAATGAATTTAGGTAAAAAAAAAAAAAAACCTAGCTTGAAAACCACTTTTAGCCTTGGTTCACACCAGATCCAACTTTGAAACCGTGCGACTTCACTTGAAGTCGTACAATTTCAAAGTCGCATGTCAGTGCAACATGGAAGACATCTGTGTGACTTCTTGCACAGAGATATCTATGTAAGTTGCACCTGAAATCGCAAAAAATAGTGCAGGATCTGCCTTCAAAATCGGTGCGACTCCAGCTCCCAATTTGGTTCCATTGCGGACAATAAGGTGCGACTTGTCATGTGATTTGACAGTTTCAAATCGCATGACCAGTCACACCGGTGTGAGCCAGGGCTTAAAGTAGAACCAAAGGCAATACTAATTTACCAGAAAAACCACTAGACACACCCAAACAGCAGGCGCATTTAGCGCTTCAGTGTTTATTTTAATGGCTAGAATAACTTAATATTTTGGCCAATGGAATGAAAGAATGCCCAAGCGTCTGACGCACCTAAACGTATTTGCAAAGCGTGGGTTTAGGCGCGTTTTCTTTTATGCTGATTTGTCCTCCCCTGGAACATAGGCATCCAGGGGAGGGAAAACATTTCCTGAGTACGTGAGGCCTCGTTGGTGACAACCCAAAATCGTCTTTTTTTTTAAGCCCTAGTTCACACTGATGCGTTCCAGAATTCGCAGCGTTTTCAGTGCAAATTCCGCACTGCATCAGAATTGTACCCCGTTCATGCGAACCGCTGCGGGTGTGTATGTTAAGTTAACAACACACCAAAAGCGGTCTGCAAAAAGTGGTGCGATGGGCAGAATCAAATCGTAGAGGTGTGAATACCCATGCGATCCGATTTTAGTGCGGACCAAAAAAAGGGTCCTGCACGTTTTTGGTGTGGTGCAGATAGAGCCATACAAAATGTATGGCTCCAATCGCACCGCACACAAATCGCATGTGATTTGCACAGGAATGTGGTGCGGTTCCCGTGCGAATCACATGCGATGTACCGCACCGCATGTATGTGAACCCAGGCTTTAAGGAACTACACCCTCCCATCCTTTAAAGCCAAGGAAGCTGCCATCTTAAGCTGGCCATACACGGGTCAAATTCCAAAAGAATTCTCGTTTTTTAAGAATTTTCATTCGAATTTTACACCATTAGTGGGCCACAGAAACGTCCGATTTTTATGAAGCCATTGAATTTGAGTGATCAGGTATGTTGGAAATTTTTTGAAAAATGAACGAATTTCTAATCAATGATGGGAGAGTCGTGTGAGAAATGTAATCGAAAAAGAAATGACATGAGCTGTGACCTGGAAAGAAAAGAAAATTCTTGGCCATCAAAAGAATTTCAGAATCAATGGTGGCACCATTGGATTACAAAACGCATGAAAGTTCAGATTTTCTAAAGAAAATTTGTGCGGAAACTGACCCATGTATGGCCTGCATTAGTCTCTGTTTGATCTACGACTGCCATGTTGATGTTGATGCACATGTGATCAGCTTTGACACCAGCGATTTGATGGTTTGACACTTTGGTTGAGAGTACAAGCAAATGTGACAGTTACAGTCCAGGCACGTGCTGGGAATCTTACTGTTTTTTGACACTGTTAAATCACCCCCCTCTATACTCACCTGAGCCTGATCTTGATCCAGCGATGTGCATGAAAGCAGAGGCTCTCTTCTTCCTCATTGGCTCAGACACAGCAGTGAGAGTCATTGGCTTCCGCAGCTGTCACAGCCACTGAGGGGAGTAGGGGGGGGGGGCGGGACTGAGCCCTGCTCTCTGTGTCTATGGACACACACAGAGGTGGCTCAGGAGCCGGCCTGCACAAGTACCCCCATAGCTAGCTGCTTGCAATGGGGGCACTTGGCCAGGGAAGGAGCCAAGAGTGCCAACGGGGCGAGAGAAGAGGAGGATCCAGGCTGCTCTATGCAAAACCAGAGCAGGTAAATTAAATATATTCTTTTTATTTATGTATTTTTTTTAGAATGTTTACAATCACTTAAACTTTCTCTTTCAATGATAGTAGACCGGACAAATGGAGAGGGTGAATCTCCCCAATGGGGGGCGCAGACAACAATAAAAACCTGACAGGTGTTTTTATTCCCTCTCCATTCTATCCAAAACTAATAATACTTCTAATAAAAAAAAAAAAAAAAAAAAAAAAAAAAGGTTTTGCCTTAATTGTTTAATTTCCTACATGGTGCTATAAGGGCTTACTTACATTAATGTCACCCTCTGACGAGCCCTCTGCAGTGGATCAATTTTTTTTATATTTTTTATTGTATAACTAAAGCCAAAACTTTTTTTTTTTTTAGTTTTGGACAGAGTGGAGAGGGATTAGAGCCCCTGTCAGGGTTTGTTGCTGTCTGTGTCCCCATTAAAGAGATTCACCCTCTTTTTTTTTTTTTTTTTTTTCTTATTTACCATTATCTAATGAAAGTGAAGGTAAAGAAAATCCCAAATTTTGAGCTGTCCCCTGAAAAGTAATAGAGGAGAAATCTTCCAA